GATTGTTGTAAGCGAAAATTTGGTGAATACTAGTGGGGGAGGGGGGGCTGAGCAGTAAGCATTATATGCTCATTACATATATTATAGGTACCAGCTACTATATTGTTATACTAGAGCCTCGCAATTATTAATTTTTAACAACAATTATAAAATGTGTACCTTTTAAATGTGTATAGATTAACTTAAAGCACCCAATGCGATATCAGGCGCGAAAAACAAAGATACTTAGATACTTAAAATTTGTAAATTATTATGACTACCGTTTGGTGATATTGACAGTAAAAATCTTCATAAATCATAATTAGTAGGTCTCAGATTTAAATTCACTAAAAATATCAAACAAATGCCCTTTAAAAAAATGAATTTAACATGTAAAATGTTGTAGGTACGTTTATAAGTAAAACAAATCTTATAATTGGTTGGTGTGACACAAAGATAAATATCAACCTTGTGCTCTTGTCTAGTTTAAAACCAGATTATCTGATGTTATATAGTTAAAAACGAAAATTATTTACATTACGTTGTACCTACTATGTTTATATGTCGTAACTCGTAATTAATGCGGTCCATACTGAATTATATCAAGAATACGAATTATTATAAACACGGAAATCGAATAAAACAAGCGAACCACAATTATTAAATTATAGAATTTGACGCCCAGGATATCAAAGAATGATCGATGGGAAAATGATGTAAACAACTAGATTAATATTATGATAAATTATATTATTATCATATTATCATGTAAAATCGTAACAATCATCGCTTCGCCGTCAGAATCTAAAAAAAGTATTGAAATAAATAATTATTACCTACTCGAAAACTTTCCCATCTTCAACTTATTTATTGTGTACCTATAAATACCTAACCTTGTGTTCTGCCAATTATTGTTCCTCATTCATTTCTCTCAACGTGACTTTTAGGACATCATCTAGGATACCCCCTGATTACCTACTATAGACCTTAATTATTGGACCAAAAAGTTTACAAATTTATAATTGTTTGTATCCAAAGTCTTCCTATAGGTATACGGGAAAAAATCTACATGGTCTTAGAAACCATATTTTGTATTGGATAATTCTAGGCATTTTTAGTAATTTGGTAAACATTTTACTATATTATTAATCTCAAAGAAATAACTTAAAAATTGCTGTTTGTAGGTGATCACACTGATTACCACGATCTATCACGATCATATTCAAAAGCAGTTTCCCTAGCATTCAGAGATGCCACAGCAACAAAAAAGGTGAAATCAGGACGTTACGGTGTTTAAGAGATTAATATCTATATGATATTATATGACATATATTATAAATACTATATTATTATGTATACTGTATATATATATATATATATATGTATTTATATTAAAATATAAAACGTATATCGTATACTTTTTAAATTATAATTATTATTATTGTTACTATCTATTAATGTATGCAGTCAAAGATTAATATTAAGAAATTAAGTACAACTTATGGAAATATTTATAGATATAGCCATATTTTCTTAACGTAAAAAAAAGTAGTATGATAATTTTTTTTTTATCATAATCCATAAACTATAACACTATATTTCACTACCTACCTACATTATTATGCATTATTATGATATAGGTAAGTACGCTTTTCTTACAATTTCAGATATAAATTACAATTATTATGAATTAAATCGTTTGGTATAATTACCAATACAGTATTACATTATATAAAATACATAATATTAAAATTTTAGTATCAATGGTATTACGAGTACGTAATACGCCTATATTATACAAAATACAATTATTTTAATCATACATGGTATCCTAAAAATATATTACACGATAAAATACTAAAGAGAAGATAAGTTATTAATATAAATTATATAAATAATCAATTTTTAACAGATTTTACAAATCCAATAATTGTCTTGCTTATTTTAACAATATTAGGTACGTCTTTAATAACAGTGACATCGTTCGACAAAAAAAATAGGTACACAGGAGTGCTGACTTTCAATTGTACATTGCTTATACATATGGTACACGGATAAATTTTGGCTCTCGTAAAAACTAATACAGTATTGCCGTATTTTATGTCAAAAACATAATTATCTTAATTTTAATTTATAATTAAACCACTTGAATGGAAAAAAAAATATAATACACGTCTTAACATACATAGGTACTGTTGAAAATATAATAATATAATATTTAGATTAGATATAATCTTAAATTGATCTACATTTTTGGTACACCTATAGCTTATCTATACAAGTAAATATTTTACAGTAAATTTTACAATTCTGTCGTTAAAAATAATGAGACAAAACTTCAAAAATGATCTTATGAAGAAAGTGGGCAATGAATGATACGATTTGGGTAGTGAAAAGTGTATCACATTATCGTAGAGTTTTAAATAACAATATATTAAATTATAATACCTATACCTAATACCTATATGTTGTATGCGACGAGTGTTTTTGGACTCAGGGAAATTTCAAGGACAGGAGAATTCGGGATCAGTTTTTGATCACCATTTCGAGCATCAGATGGTGTTTTTAATAAAATTAAATCATATTGATAATTTGATTTCCGGTATACATATTATATTATGATATAATATTATTATAATAACATACAAAATATTATAATATCATGTATATTATTATAACTTATATTATTACCACTCAAAATGTGTTTGTTTAGGACAGTCTTTGGCGCTCCCACACCATTTAGTCTGCAGCAATGGTGGGCACTGCCGTCCTGCTCCTCTTGGGTGTTTTATCACCTCTCTGCGCCTCTGCATTTCACCGATGCCACATGATACGCTGCATGCACTCCATTCAGACCAGACACCCAACCGACAGTCCCGGTACCCTGCATATAAGACGTGAAATTAAAATACAATTTTTATAAAAAAAAAAAACCAGAGACATATCCAACGTTCATCAAAAACCAAGCACATCCACTAACTCCAAACCCCCAACAATTAAAGACTATATACAAAACCTCATGATCAGTTTCTTTGGCCAACTAAACAATGCAAAAAGAGCCAAATACTTTAAGCTCAGCGATAAGCCTAACCTCCGGAGACTTAAGCGCGGACGTAATCATAATGCCCTATCTCAACACATTATAATTAATTTTTATTTATTCTATTCTATTGTACCATTATATATTTATCGATGTAAATCCTTGTAATTTCTTTTAAATAATTGTATATAATTATGCATTAATGCATTATAAATTGTTAAACTGATGTTAAACAAATTTAAATTTTAACGAATTCAAAAAAGTGGTGTATCCAATGACAAAACCTTACTAACATAAATGATATGAAGTTATTGTTATTTAAGTTAATTTTCAAGAGATCGTGGCAACAACGTCAAACTGGGTTATCTACTTATATTATGTTGATGTTGTGAGAAATTTGAAATTAATGTGTATGGGTGATATTGTATTTTTAAATGTTGTATTTACGTTATTTTTTATCCATATTAAAATCCAGTGAAAGTGCAATCAGCACTTGAATATTTTACAATTTAGTATTCACAGTATTTACCAGTATAACATTATAAATAATACCTACCTGCTTCTGATTATTATTTTTTCTCTATAAAAAAACATTGATTTATAAAAAAACAAAATATATATTATTTTATATGGGGTTTCTATAAGTAAAAAAATTAAACTAAGGTGATTGTACAATTAATAAACTGGTTAGTAAATATACAAAACACATTGTAGAAAAAAATTAACTCGATGAGACGTCAGAAGTTACTTAATAAAAAAAAAAAAATAGTAGAATGGTATAGAAGGTACCTAGGTACTATATTATTAGTACCTAAAGTCTCACTTATTATTCTGTTTTGGTAACTGATATATTAATACAAATTAATCACTTGATTTTTTGTGAGTTTTCTTATGTTTTCGAACATGATAGTTGTCTAAAATGCTGTTCATCAACGCTTCTTTGTTGTCTTTTGGTATTGATATGGACGACGTGACGTTGGAAACCGATACTTTATCATCGCCAATACTGAAAAATGAACTATCAATCATTACGTTATTTCATTACTGTCAGCAGTATTTAATTTATAATATTAATACAATTATAACTATAGTTGATTATAATATAAGGTATGTGAAATAAGCAATTTAAATTCATTAGTTATGGTTTCCAAATAGGTAAACATAACTAAAACTGTCCTAGACATTGGCGGTGGAGTATTAATAGGGGTTCAATTTTCCCTCCGAAATTGTTACAACTTTACGAGCCATCAAAAAAAATAATTATATGAGTGACATATATATTGAACTTATAAAAATATATTCATACAAATACATAGGTTAGATTTTAACTTATGGGCCACGGGGGGCATTTTTCTTCGGGCAGTCACTGTGCCCGGAGAGAGAAACCTCCATCCCCCAACCGGGCATGGCAGATACCTACAGCTAGGTGCCCACTTAAAAAGTCCACCAAAACAAACACACACGTGTTCAAGGTTAGGTTACCCTCCCCCACAATTCCACAGGCTAATGACCTCAGTTGTCGAAGCCTTAACCCCCCTAACAAAAAAAAAATAACTTTAGAAAGTATATAAATAATAGATAAAAATATCATTATCCACAATTATTTTTTTTTTTAATTATCTACACACACAAACAAAATCGATTTTGTCAAAAATTGGGTTTGCGTCCTTAATTTCATCAAACAAAACAAACACTCACGTGTTCAAAAACTACAGTACCCTCCCCCACAGTTCCACAGGCTAATGACCTCAGTTATCAAAGCCTCAACCAAAAAAAAAAAAAAAAATATATTATACTTTTAATTATTACTATATTTCACGATACATTATACAGTTTAAACTTTTAAAGAAATAATATAACCCAACCATTTTATTTATATATCATAACCTAACCTATCATAATTTATCAATAATAACTATAATTATTACTAATTATAAACATCATAAGTCCAAGTAATAGGTGACACAATTTAAGTCATATTTTATAATAGTGCCGCTTTGCAATCGTACCTTTTATAGTTATTGTACTCTTGTTCTCGTCTTTGCTGTTCCATTTCCAGTTGTACCTCTCGATCGCTATCGTTCTCACCATTTAAAACTTTAATGACGCTCTCTTCAATTTTTACCGTGGGGTCTGATGCTTGCCCTCTGCCGCTCAAGGACTGTTCGTATTCTTTAATCTAAAACATTTAACAAGAAAAACACACACGTCATGGCCAATTTAGAGGATTGTAAATGCAATAGTATAATATATATACAACTTATAATTTATTAAAGTGTCTACACTCATTATTTCAAAAAGTTTTAACTTTTATTAAAATATTATTTTTACCTAATTTGATAAGAAAATTATATTTTTTAAACTTTTATTTTTATATTTTATTAGGTTTCAATATGTTTTGAAGTATTTCAATGTATAAAAATCTAATTTCAAACCAGAAATTAATAAGTAATAAATAGTTTAGATGAGTGGAGTTGAGTAGCAAAGGGGTACCCTACCTGGCTACCTACCTCACAAAATATTGTTTCACTACTAAACTCATATAAACTTTAAATAAACATAAAACTAATTAGCTATACACGTATGTAATTCATATTGTATCTATTGAAGAAGGTACTTCAAAAAATATTATGCTGTGAAATATGAAATTGAAAATGTATGTTGTTATTCAAAAAAATTAAAACTTAAAAACAATGAAAATTTGTAAAAAAAATATAGTTTTATACGAAAATGAATTGTTACAATGACATCAAATTATATGGGTACCTTTAAATAATTTTTTGAAATAATGAGTGTGTACACTTAAATGGATCGCCTTGTATATCCATTAGAGTATATTTTAATAATACTTTTATAAATTGAAAAGTCGCTATCGTCGGCAACCGATTGAACTGTGGATAATAGAAAGAACTGGCAGGGTGTGATGGATAGTTGCTTTTTATTCGGTATACAATGCCCTGTGGATCGGTAGGCCAGTTCGGCGCTGTAAACGTGAATCCGTTGTCGCATCCCGCGTCTATTGGATCAGCCTATATTAATATTTACATTCAATTAGATATATAATAATATTATAATGTACATTCAACTTTACAATATTAAAAGGTTAGAATTTAAATCTACTTATACATTGATTGTAAAATAGTTAATTATTAAATTTCTATGAATATTCTCTAAGTGAAATTATTGATATATTATGTATTGATTTATTTAAAATTATGTTCTAACATAATTAATGTAGTTGGTTAGGTTAGGTTAGGTTATGTAATTAAATTTATGTAATTGAATGTACTTAAAAAAAATAAATATTTTACACGCTTGGTCAGCAGGGAAAGGATAATATTTAAATTTATATTATTCTTGTTACCTTAAACTCAGATTTATATTTTACATAATATTGTGTATATTTCTGACTTCCTTCCTCTTTATGTAAAATAATAATTAAATTTCGTTATTTTAAAATTATGTTTGTCACACTGCCTTACTAATTAAAACAATACTTGGTATGCATATTCACTTTTAAAAAAAAATGTCTGTAAAATTTAAATAAAGATGGATGCGTAGTACCTACCTATATTATATAATAATGCATTAAAAGATTATATAATAATAAATACAATATGCATACAACAAAAATGAGCAAATGATAAATTCGAGATTCTTATATGTTAAATATTTTTATTAATATTCGTAATTTACTTTAAAACAGAATAATTTGTTTTGTATTCACAGCTAGCATTATTTATCATTCAGCAAGTTAACACTGTGTGTTATACTCTTAATGGCTAATTGACAAAATATTGAAAACAATAATATTTAGTTCGTGTATAATGTATATTGTATGATAATAAAATAATAATTTGTCGTTTCACCCAAACAGTATACTATCTTGTGAGTCAAAGATACTTATTATATGACAGGTTATCGGTGATAAGCTAACTTAACTGAAACGCATAATAACGGTTAGTAGGTACTTATTAGTAATCAAAAACGATTTGAGTTTATATTTCAAATAAAACAAAAGACATTTAATAGTTAATACCTTTTTTGTCAATTAAATTTACATTACTTTTTAGAAATGTCTTTGTTTCCTAACACTAACAAGTGTGTAGCTATGTGTTTAAGCTACAAACTCTATGATGTTAGTTATTTTAACATTCGTATTTTTAAGAACAAGACAAATATTCTGTTTTATATTTTGATATACTAGGAGTATTGATGCTCTACATGATAATATAATACTAACCTCTATAGTGATGCTGTCGAGCCAATTACCATTCACGCACAGATCAAACGAATCTATTCCAATAAACCAATCCGGAGATGGAATCATGCGTGACATCAATGACACCTGAACAAATAAACATTTCAATTTTACAATATGGTCAATATTAATAATAGTATGTATAATATTAAATATTGTATTCAAGATACTACACCAAACGTAAATGAGTGCAAGTTATGCAACTACGTGATTCAAAATAGAATCGTTTTCTATTAAAGAACACTTTTTGAGACTGTAAAAGTACACCGATAGTTTGTTGAAAGATACTAGATATAGATCAAAAATAATCAAATTTGTTGATTTTTTCTCGCCAAATATTTTGAAACTCAGTCAAAATACTACTAAAAAACAATTAACTTTTTTTCAAAGAATTTGACAAACTAAGTAAAGTAAATTTAAACTTGTTTTATTCATGTAAATTAAAAATTATAATCCTAGAGAAATAGAATGATGTAAATTTAGTAATGTAAATTATGAATATAATTTGACAGTTTTAGAATTAAAAATCTTAACTGAACACTGACCAGTAAGTTCATCGACTGGCAGTGCTTCTGAGCTGCTATCATCCCCTCCCCCGTCCATAATCATACGACAGTATTCTCGACCAGCTCGTCGTGGAGTACACTTCCGTGATATTATAATCACTATTCGTTTGACCTTTTGACCACCGTTTTAAGTCTTGTCAGCTTTGTAATAATATATTGAGCCCCTTTAGCACATTCGTCGTCTCATGCGCATGTGACATTATTTGTGATTCACCTAGGCAGAGCACTAGTACGCTTTTGTCCTAGATTTTACATCAGTTTTAATAATATTTACAGTTGTATTGTATGTGAGCTGCCAGCGATCTAGATGATGGTGATTTTTGAATAAACAGTTGTGTATGAGTGGCGTGGAGGTGCTCAGGTATCAACGGCTATAGTACATCTCAATAGGCTGTACTCTGGGCTCCCTTATAAGTGGTCTCTGTTCTTTGTCTTGGACCGGCCTCGCAGTCTCGCAGGTGTCTTTTGGATGTGATAGTGGTAAGTCAAAAATGCAAATAATGACATGTTTTTGTGTGTGGCTTTTTGATTTACAGCGTGCGTGGCATTGGTTGTGGTTTTGAGGTGTCTTTTAAATGTGGATGGAAGTGGTTTCCATAAAAAATCTGTTTGACTGATAGTGCTGCTGCATTCTTGATTGACAGTTATGGAGAGTAATAGTACTTAGATAATAGCTGTCCTATTAATAATACGTCAATTATATATTATACAATGGATTCATGATACTCATACATACGTTAATAGTACCATCAGCTTGATTTATGTGGAATTTATTATTATAGCCGAGTTTAAAAATTCTTGAGTAATGATTGAGGGGGGGGGTTGGGGTTAAAATAAGGGCGATATAAATGAGTTTTTCTTGTAGTGTAAACTGTGAGTTATACTGTGGATTTTTGTGACCATTAGAGACTATGACTAAGAGTAATTATTTAGATGTTGGTGAGTTAGTAAAAATACTCCCATCCTCCTTAAATCATCCGCAACCGATCATTTTGGTAGGTAAATTACTGTTATAAGATGTTTATAGGTACATTTCTGAAGACGTCGGTAATCGATATGATAATTTATAGTAAAAGTATGTCACTATGGACATGTCGCCCATATTTACAACCAAGCTCTTGAATTTTCTAAGTGGGGGCAGTCTCCGCATAACCTCCCTTGAGGAGGCCCATCGATATTTGTTCATACAAATACGAACAATATGATGGCACGTATATTATATTATACTACTAAATCTGTGTAGATAATAATATACTATATTTATCAAACTGTGTTATATTCCGGCTATTCCCGGTCGGCCGCCGCGGGACGATCTGATCTATTAATTAGTCGTGTAGAGTCCATTAATATATTACGAAAAACCTCAAATATGCTCTAAAAGTCTAAAAGCATGATGAACATAAAAATATGATCAAGGAAGTAAAAATCGAAGAAATATGCAAAATTAAATTGGTAAATTTGAATTCTTTGAGTGATGAAACAAATTTACATCTTACTCCGCATTAATTTAGATGTTATAAAAACTATAATAAATGCATAAACATCAGCTCTCTAATTATTATTATTGATACTTGTACATAAGTGTTTGTGTTTTAAAAAAAAGCGTAAGTAACATTTACGTTATCCCCTGAATGATTCTGTGGATTTCCAATTATACTGGTTATTGAGGGTGATGTTGGAAATAGTGGTGGTGTATGCCTAGCGGAAAAAGAAAGAGAAGGGATGGGAAAACATCGGGTAATCGGCGGAAAATTAATTCCGTGTATCGAGCTGAGTCAGCGAGGAGGGATAGAGAAGAAGAGAACTCTGATGAAAATAAACAGAACGAATTTACACTCGAACAATTGCAGAGACGGTGTAAATGTTCGATGATTTTTTTCTTTCTTTTTTTCATTTAAAATTGTATACTGTATTCATCCACAGTACCTGCTCCGTCTACTGATGACCCCTCCAATGCTAGGACTCTAGCATATAATGAAATAACTAGTCATCAGGGAAATAACTTTGAATTCTTACAGAATTAGTTTTTTTAAAAATGAGAATAAAATCAATATATATTGTGTGGAGGAAAAAAACTAATAAATTAAAGTTAGGTACCTAAACAATTTTTGTATAACACGGATCTGAATTGTCGTGCTTATCATATATTATTAACATAATGATTAAAATGTACGACGAATATATCTATAAAGTGGACACAGCTAAACATCCGTGAATATTATATATAATATATATTATTGATGTCAAATAGTTTATTAACCATACAAATTATTGAAGTTATTTGTTATTAAATAAATCTTGATATGGATTGTCACCATGTTGATTATTAGTATATAGTATTATATAGTATATTATTCAAAATGTAATTATTTATTTATAAAAAATAAACATTTTATACAAATGAAATACTCCATATTATTTCCATGAAAATGTAAACACAATTAGGTTAGATCAGTCTATCATAGATATCTAGATCGTAAGTTACACATATATGTATATATATATAATAATAATAATACTTACTAGAACAAATGTTTTAATAGAAAGCACCCTTAAGCCTTAAACTAAAACATTGAACAATTGTTACTTCTTCAAAATGTGATTACAGACTCAACAAAATATATAAATATATGTAGATAATTAGGTACCAGCTACTACTTAATATTTTATAGAATAAAACTTATTTTATATTCTAAAAGCATCTTAGAAAAAAGTATTTCGAAAGTATAAATGTAGGCGTATTATAGGTCTCTTTATCTTTTTCAAACTTAATTCGTGACAAGAATTTTAGAGTTCCAAACTATAAACCTAAGGGAGATCTATACGAATAAGTAAAAATTAAGATATATAGATATACCTATAATAAGTAATACATATGAAAATGCATAAAATCATATTTTGCACAAAATTGATATTCATGTTGATAAACATTTGTAGTTTAATAATAGAATGTAAAATTACAAGCCATGTTTTATTGTTACCTTGAATTATACATTATAATTTTGATGAATTTAGAAGTTTTATGAGTTGGGTAATATTTAAGTTCCTGGTTTGGTGCTACAGAAACTCACAAGGGCCAAGGATAATGACTTTATGAGGAACATAATTGAGCTCACCTCTGTTGGTTTGGGTCTTGTAGATTACTCGTTATTATTTTATGATGAGTATCTTGTAAGTATATCATTAAATTAATCATTGATTTTAAATATAAAAAATATAATTTTTAAATTAGTAACTATATATGTATATCTGTTTTTATTGGTTTCTTGTTCAGATTCTTTAACATATCATATTGACTTATGCAAAATAAGTAGGTATGTACTATGTAGGTACAAATAGGAAAAAATTTGAATATATGAATATAAACATAAAATCCTAAATCATGAAAAAATATCACAAGGTTATACCTTATACATTATTGTTCTATGTGTCACAACTCACATGACGTATTTTAATCTTACTCAACTTTATACATTTTGATATTTTTTAGAAATATCCAAATGCTAGTAAATCTGTTATCTATTTATTATATTATATTTTTAAAGTTATAATAAATTAGTCGATACTAACCCTAGAATGGTTTCCGTCCACGAAGAACTGTGATTGAGTCCAGGCGGCTCCTGTCGACACGCTGGGTGCTACAAAAGTGTTTAGTACCTTATCTTCGACTGCTCCTCCACCACTCCCTCCATTCAATCCTTCACCGCCACCATCGTCCAATTTGTCACTGCGCCCGGTTTTGGCAAACATACGAACACTTTCAGATGCCGGCGTGCCTTCCCGGAACATGGTATAATCTCTGGAATGCGATCTACCTAAAAAATAAAAATATATATCATGATAAAATATAGCAGCATTAAACATATAGGTCCTATATTATAGGAGCATTGAACTGGTTTACATAAGGGGCCCTTACTCCTAAATATTTCATATATTTTATATTCTGAGTGGAGAGATGAATGTAATGGTTTCACAATTATGTGTGTATTTTTTTTGTTTCCCATCAACTTTCGTAATAGTAAAAATGCATCAATTTTAACTTGAAGCAAAATTTCTGGAAAGTGGGTTTCAAAATAATTGGGGAAAAAAAATTACAGAAATGTGGAAATATTTACGCATATTCGATTTTGTATTTTTTTTTTTTTTTGAAATTCAATAAATAAATATTTTTAACTTGTTCAAAGTTTAATTATAAGTTGGTTAACAACATTCTAAAAATATGGGACATGTTTTTTCAAAACCTTTTAAATTAAATTTTTTAATTTTGGCTAAATTGGATATTGAAACAAAAATTACGAATTTTCTTCATACGATTTTACATATTATGTTGAAAATCAACAAATATAATTTTTAATCACTTGAAATTTTTCAATTCACAATATAAATTTCAAAATATATACTAATTTTATTTAAATTTCAAGCTGCTTATACCACGACCCAATTTACGTCATTCTATATTATTGACTTATAGATTAAAAGCAGTAACATACTATGTGATATGTTTTGTAAACA